TTGCCAACTAAGAATTAAGTAACACAGCTACCAAGTGAAGAAGCCAAGGACCTCACTTGAGCGGTCCTGTCCAAGCCTCGATCTTAACCACCCCCCCATATAGTCTTCCTTGCAAGTGAGGACAGTGACCTGGCAGAAGATGCATATGGACAGAAGGAAAGGTACCACTCAGTGTCAAGCTGAGAAAGATGGTTTATGGGAGAGGGGGAGCTGAGCAGGGTTTTGAGTGGAGGAGCATGGACAGATGTACAGGTTAGGAAGCCCCCTCTGGCCTCTAGGAAGATGGAGGAGAGGCTGAATTGGAGCTAGGTAGAAATGTGGGCAGGTGTGCAGGCAATGAGGGAGGAGCACTTGATGGCTGCTTTTGCTGTCTACTTCTGGCCCATCTTCATCAGCTGCCACAGACAATGGTCTTGACCCAAGAGAAAGCCAGGGTGCAAACCTCCTCTCGGCCTCCAGAGGGCAGTGCTGCAAAGTCTTCAAGGAGCTAGGTCCTTGCAGCAAACTATCCCCAGACTGCCAGATGCCTGCTTCCACCCTGCTTGCACCCTCTCCTGCACTCCCCACGTCCCAGCCTTTGCTGCACCCTGAGCATTAATGTCCTCTCACCAAGGACACAAATTATTGAGAACTGTAACCTTACACTTGACACTATGGAAGAAATGGTGCATGCATTAGTTCATGGGATCCTTCTAAGACACGGGCAAAGAAGAATGATACCCTTCCCCAGGGTCCTGAGGACCATCTCATCATAAGGAAACTGAGGACCAGGCAAGGGCAGGACTTGACCAACACCAGCGCATGGTTGACAGGCCAGCCGGTGCCAGCTGGAGAGTGTGGGAAGACACAGCCCAGCAGCACCTGCCATGTTACAGCTGTTAATGGTGACCACCAGCCTGCCTGCTGATCCCGCATTTTGCCCTTGGGCTCCGTTCCACCTTAGGGGCCCTTTCAGTGATTTATTTCCATGAGGTGTCAGTCAGGTCAGGCTAACCTGACAGGCACCTTATATGATTTACTTCCTCCTCATCCTCTGCTTCCAAAATTACAAGTCATCACCATCATCATCCCTGCCATATTAATAATAACGTGTGTCTCTCAACTCTCAGAATTCAGCAAGCACTAATTTATCCATCAGCTCATCTGAGCCTTGACAGCTCTGGAGAGGCATTTCACAGACAAGGGCATGGAGGATCAGAGAGGACCAGTGATTAGCCCTAAGTCACTCAGCAAGGGCTCAGAGGAACTTTGTCTTCTTAGAGAGAAGCTGTGCTCTTACCAAGGAGAAGATGGGGTTACCACAGTCCTTCTAGGAGGTTTCTTGTCCTCTTATTTCACATAGGAGGACACTGAGCCTCGGAAAGCTGCTCACTGGGTGGGAAATGAACTGTCTGGTGCCTCAGCTCATGCTGTTTCTGGGCACAGGGCTGCCACTTCCAGGGAGGATGCAGAGTTTGGAACAGAGATTAGAGGCAGTTGGACCCAGGGGTTGGGAGAAACTTACTGCTAGGGCAAAAAAAGCCCAGAGAAACAGGCAGCTTCCCAAAGGCATGGAGGTGGGGGAACATGCAGACAGGTTTAGGCTGCCACAGACAGCTCCTCATGGGGTGTACAAGGCAGAAGAGCCAGTGCTGCACTGAGCCAAAGGGGTGGGGAGGCTCCAGCTGGACCCTCCGGGGCCCCACCCCACCTGCAGACCCAGCTTCTCTTCACATGGTTGGGAAATGAGCTGCCTGGGAATGAAGGAGTAGGGCCAACAAAGGGGAAGCCCCAAACACTTGGAAGGACAGACCTGGTTTCTCCTCAGCTAGCCAAGGAAAGAAGGCCAGGGAAAGAGGTTCGGTGACTCCCTCCTGACATCACGCTCTCCAGGCACTGGCGGGCTGATTTGGAGACGGGAAGAATTGAATTAAGTGAGCTCCATATCCCTCCCACTCTGACCTTCTGAGTACCACTCATTCACCCTCCCTGTCCCTGGCTCACATCCCAGGCCCTACTATACATATACTCGACACCCAGCCCTGGGCAAGTGGCCTTTCTGAGTGGGTGTGGGCTTCTAGGCAACAAAAGTATGACTTTGCTTTCCTTGGGCAGACCTATGGAGTCAGGCATGGGAGCTGTCTGCAGAGCAGGGAGCATGAACCCAAGGCCACATGTGAGGCTGGGGTGACCCAGACGCTGACCGAGGCCTCACGTGACTGCCTGGCTGGCCCAGTGCTCATTTATAGATATCCGCTCCCTGGCTGGAAGGCCATAGAGAAGTGGGAGTGAAGGTGCTGAGGCAGCAGTTTGATGTCTTTTTTAGGAAGGCATCTCTGACCACTCTTCCCCTTCTCACACCTGCCCTCTCATCTTCTGAGCCATTTCACAGTAACCCTCTGGACCATCCTGGAGGTAGGTGGTTTGACATCATGGTCTCCAAGTTACAAATAGGAATTTGCCCAATATTCCCCAGTAGGATTGTGACAGAGCTGGGACAGAATTAAGCTCTCGAATCTGGAGCCCAGCATCCTTCCCTTGTACTCAAAGCAGGTTGTCTAGGATGAAGAATCTCTGTTTTGCCTGCTTTACAAAAGGCACATCCCTAAGTGACTTAGAGAGAGGAAGGCTTTATGTTCTGCTAACAGCCCAGGGTTTTACAACAGCATCGGGCTTAGCATGAGACACTGTGTGCAAACACCATGGATTCCTGGAAGCTGCAGAATTCTGCAAGCCAGGCCAGGCCTTGCCAGCAGTATGAGGCTAAAAAAGGCATCAGGTTTTACAAACTGTGGGAATCTGCACATGGTATTAGAATCCACACATAGGATGAGGCTCTGTAAAATGCATAGAGCACAGCAAACAGCACACATTGGCAAGTGACAAATCCAAAACACAAACCAGTGTGATCAGACCTCAAGCCTGGGCCACCCACAATGGGGCCTTATGTGGGACTAGTCCAGAAGATAATCTGAGGGCCTGATGGCCTAAGAACCAGAGGGTCCTAGGTACTTGACCCTTGTCCAGTTCCACAGCTCTGAGTTCAATAATATTCTGGCCCCAGGACACACACCTACCATTCCATGTATAGGATTTCTTCAGCCCCTGGGGCAAGGATGGGGGCAATGGAGCATCCAGAAGTCTATAGGAATTCTCTGTCTCTATTGTACACTTGCAATTTAGTCTTGGAAGGTTCTACCTCTAAGAATCTCTAGATGTGCAGACTTTAAGGACTTAGAGAGAACTAATTTGGTTTCTCCGGCCAAGGGGGTGAGGTGGCTCCAGCTGGACCCTCCATGGCCCCACCCCACCTGCAGACCCCACTTCTCTTCACACAGTTGGGAAATGAGCTGTCAATCCAAGCTCATTTTTTACCTCTCTCGGTGGTCATGCATTCATATTTCTAATTTCTCAAAGACTTATTCATTCATGCAACATTCAGCATTCTATAATTGATAATGCAAAATAGGAAGAAAAGGGTCCAAAGGGGTAGGGGTAGTGGGAGGGGTAGGGGAAAGGAAAGAAGGGAAAGGAAAAATTATGAGAAATGGAAAAAATGGAAACCAAGTCTTTGTAAATAGGGAAGGGTGGAGGGGGTGAAGGGAGGGCTGGGAATGGGGAAAAATAAGAACCAAGATGCATCATGTAAAGGTCCAAGTTCCCAATGAGAGATGTAAATGTGTTGTATACCTACAATGTACCAATAGAAGAACTTAAGAAGAAAAAAACATTCAGCATTCTATTGAGTGCCCTCCGAGTGCCAGGTACGTCACACATTCCACACTTCCTACTCGAAGCCTCATTCAGCTACAAGGAGCCAAGTGGGACTGAGGATGTTTCTCTGTCATTGCAGTGAAAGCTAGATTCCAAACCCACATCCCCATTCCATGCAAAGATCCTATTTCTGATCAGGTTCATTTCTGCATCTTGGTCTTGGGGAAACCGAGAGATCTTTTCCTGAGAACATAGCTTGAACAAAGGAAAACGCCTAGTCCTAGCATCAGAGATCCAAGACCTGGGCCCATCACCAGCTAGCTGCGTGATCTCGGGCACCTAACTTAGACTCAGTACCTCTTCTGTAAAATGGGGCTACATCTAACCTCTGGGGTGATGGTAGGGCCCAAGGGAGCCTCAGTGCGGAAGGGCTGCCAAGCTGAGGAGGAAGAAGGGGTTTGTTTTCTCTCCTGCCTGCCTCTGAGCCCAGCCTCTGCTGCTCCCTTCCCTTCCACTAGTTCACGCTCTCTGGGCACAGCTTCTTTACCTCACTGAACTTTCACCACAGCCCTTCAAGAGAACATTGTTGCTCCTTCTTCCTAAGTGAGGGATCTGATGATAGGCAGGTGAAGGGACTTACCTATAGCCCCAGAACTGGTCTGACTGGCTGCAAGGCCTCCATCCTCTGTCCTTAGTCCAGAAATACCTGAGAATTTCACATTTGCCCTCTACTCCCCTCCCTCCCTCCCTCTCCCTGTTCCTCCCTCCCTTGTTTCCCTTCCTTTCTCACTCTCTTCCCTCCCTCCCTCTCTTACTCATCTAAATGGGCATGAATGATGGAGCATCTGGCATGAGTCTCCCAGATGAGCTATCATTGTACCAGGTGTGACCACATTGTCTCCAGGTGGACAACGATTCCTTAGTCCGGAACCTTGGAGATGGGAGAGGTCTCAGTGAGAGGTGCTAAGGGCTTGAGGAGACAGGAGTGCAGTGAAAGACGATAATAGCTCAGGGGGCTCATGGAGGGCCATGGAAGTTCTACAGGAGGAAAGGGCTTGGTAGGAGAAGGGGCTCACATGCAAAGTGGAGTGCAATAAAGAGATTAGGAGGTCAAGGCTAAATGGCTCTGGACTCAAGGAGACCCATTGACATCCACCTTTCCACTGCTAACTCAGAAGGAAAAATGGCTAAGAAAAGCCCCAGTTCCAGTGACTGGGAGGAGCAGGCTGTCTAAGCCTCAGAGAGGCAGGACACGGCCTCCTCCCAGCAGGAGGGTGGACCTAAACAAACCCAGCTTCCTACACCATGCTGGCCGCTGGCCGCAGACTGTCCCAGCCAGAGCAGAGAGAGGGGAAGGAGCAAGTGGCCCAGGGAATCGGGCACTTAGAGAGGGCCTAGTTTGACCAGGACCCCCTAACCCTGCCTGGAGAGGTGGTGGCTGCTGTCCATTGTGGCCTGGGAGACGCCACCGAGGCTCACCGCAGTCGCCTGCAGGATCTCCCCATCAGGCTCACTTCCTCCCCTGCTCAGCTCCAGGTCCTGAGATTGAATTAGCGGCTGGAACTCACTGCACTCCACCATCATGGGACCCAGAATGGGTAAGTCTGGAGGAAGTAAGGAAAGGCACTGGGAGAGGGACTGGAGGCTTGGTTTCCAGTGAAGAGCAAGGCTATAGAGCCAAAATGGATATACCGAAGGTGGGAAGGGAGCATACAGCTCTCAGCACAGAACCAAGCACCTGCCCAGAGCACTGTGAATGAGGGAATGACCAAGGAGTAGGAGAAGACCATTTTACTCAGCTGGAGGCAGGGAACCCAGGCAAACCACCCTGATGAGACACAGACAGACCAGAAGACAACAGAAATACAGGCCCGATCCCCTTGTCAAGCCTCGTCGCCCTACGAAGGAGACAAAGGTAGAGACAGAAGCATCAAAGAAAGAGCCAAAGAGAGGGAGATGGAACATGTGCAGAGATGGGCAGAAAGACAGGAGTCAGACCAACAGGTCTTGGCAGGAGCTATAGGGACTAGAAGGAGAGCAGCCTTGGAGAGAATGTGGCAACAGAGATGAGGAAGATATGGAGAAGCAGGAGGTAGTGAGAGTGAGAAAAGGAAAACACAGAACACACAGGGACAGACGCTGTAGAGTGACAGACAGACAGACATGCAAACAGAGATCCAGCAAGATCCTTGCAAAAGAGAGGGATTGGGGGATGTGGAGGAGTGGAGGGGAAATAGCTGGAGACCTCTAAGAACCAACCTTGATGGATGGCAAGGAAGCACCTGGGGTGGGGTGGAGCAGGTGAGCAGTGTTTCTGGGAGTCAGTGCCAGAGCCAGTGTATCTTAGGCAGGCAGAGGGTGGTGGAGGAAACAAAGGATCTTCAGACTGGGCACCCCCAGTACTGCCTACAGTGATCCCCTGGGGCCTCCCTCCAGGCTGCCTGTCTTTCCATCATCCCCGAACTGTGTGGGCCTCACGCCCACAGAGGCAAGGCTGGGCCTGCTCCCAGAGGCCTGGCAGTGATGGCTTCTCAGGCCAAGGGACTGCAGGTGGATGCAGATGGGGCAGGAGACAGAGCTTGGAGCCTGGGGACAGACTAGGATCACTCACAGAGAGAGATCAGCTGTCCCCACCAGGGCCAGACACCAGATAGGAGTGAGGGCCAGATGTGGCTCCTACAGAACCCCACCATCAACTGACCACATGCCCTTGGGCAACAGGTAGCTTCCCTGTCTGTGTAGGAAAGGGCTAAAGAAAGTAATCTCCCTCAGCAGTTCCCACAGCGTGATCCAGAGTACCCACACGCCAACTTCTGCACCCTTGCTCAGGAAGGCTGCTACCTATGCCCATTCAGGTGGAATTTGCCCACTTCTCACTCCTCCAAACATCAACTCTTCCAGGAAGTCTTCCTGGCTGGCTGTCCCAGTTGGAAGTAACCCCTTCCAGTCAGCACCCTAGTGCTAGATAACCCTGTCTTTGAGATCCATCCTCCTTTGCTCCCAATGTGTCTGCTATGCTCTCTGCAACCCTTCTGTGTTCAAACATGAGCCATCCCAGGGAAGGTAGGAGGAGTGAGGGAAAGAACTAGCAGCCCTATGTTCACATTTGAGCTCTGTGTCACTAGCTTTATGAGAACGCAGTGAAATGTTCTCATTCTTTTTAACAGAGAAGGAAACAGATGCTCAGAGAGGGCAAATAACTTGTCCAAGGTCACTCAGCAAGTTAACAGCAAAATGAGGGCCAGATGCCAAAGCTTTTTCCTCTTGTTTCCATGCCCTTGGGATTTCTCTTCCTTCCACAGATTTCACATTGCTGAGCCTCTGCCCACCTTGGGCAATTCTCTGCTGGCTCTGCTGGCACCAGACAGCAAGCTGTTTTTTGGATGCCAGTGACTGAGGAGTGGATGAGGTTGGGGAGTTATTTCCTCCCAGGCTGGGCTGGCCTTGCCTACATGGCCAGATCCCAGCAGCTAAGAACCAGATTGTGAGCCAGCTTAGACTCCATCATGGGGTGCCAGGTATTCGATGCCCAGTCTCCTTCTGTCCCTTCCCAGGACCCCATTTCTCCATCTGTGTAATAGATGGAAGGACGTGGCCAAAGTGGTCACTTGGTCCCTTTTCACACTGATAAGCCTGGTCCCTGGGGGGAGCCATGGAGCAGAGCCTTCCCATAAAAGCAGGGTCCTATCAGTGTTGGGGATTTGGCTATCTCCAGAGTGCCAGCCTGGGCCTCTGCTGCTCCCTGTGGGTATAGGTGCCACCATCAGAGGCTGCATCCCAGAGCCTAGTACTAAGGCTTGCAGTGGTGGAGAAGGATGCCCATCTCAGTATGCCAGAGCTCCCTGTGGGCACAGCCTGATTTCATCCAGTCCTGGAGCCCCGAGCCCAGCCCAGGGCAGGGCAGAGATGGGGTGGTAGGAGGGGTTCAGTGCATAAACTGTCCTCGTGCCTCTCCATGCTCCCATCCTGCCACACTCCTTCCTCACTCCAACCTTTCTTGAAGGCTTGAAGTCTGCCCTGAGCCAGGCTCTGTGCTGATACAGACACCCAGGATGAAATCAGGCAGCAGTCCCTCCCTCCAGGAGTTCCCGGGGGACCAGAGAGTCACAGACACAAATCACATGGATAAAAAAGCTGAAGTCTGAAACTGGCAGCAACAGTAGGCTGCACAGCTGGGAGCCGGTAGGATTATAGGAAAGAGAGCATCAACAGGGCCTCAACAGGGTATCCGTTCTAGGAGGGCATTAGAAATGCTTGGAGAAGTGACTGAACCTGGCATGTTTGTGGGGACAGTGAGCTGCCCTGTGTGGTCAGAGTAGGGGAAGTCACTGTGTCATATTCAAAAAGTTAAGTCCAAGAAGCTGACAGGACCCCCATCACAAAGAGCTTGTATGCCAAGTTGGGCATACGGACTCTGTCTTGGAGGCAATAGGGAGCTATAGAAAGCATGTGAGAAAGGCAGTGGCCATACTTCAGTGGCCCAAATCTGTGTCCTGGCAACACTCATCATAAGCTCATTGTGTGGTGCTTTTATGAATACAAAACACCCTTACGTCCGTTTAACAACCAAGGCTATGAGGAGCCCAGTGACCTGCCCAGGCTGCACAGCTAGCCAGGAGCAGGCCAAGGCTTGCACTAAAGCCCTCACTGGTGTCAGGGGCCTCCCTAGATGTCCCTTGGCCCTCCTTCTTGATGAGTCTGTGCTGCAGGCTCCCATGTGCTCAGCTGTGCCTGGTGGACAGTGGCCTGGGGGGTGAGCTCCTCTCAGGGAGCCTCACGCCCAGACATTTCTAAGACAGTTCTTTGAATGAATTTGCATAGTAGCTGCACCTTCTCCAAGACTGAAGACCCTGATACAGAGCATGGCTAGGTCCCTTAGGGAGTTAATTTAAGCACAGACAGCAACAAACTAGGGCCATAGGAGGGGAAGGTGGTATAGTCTCAAGCCCATAGCCACCTCTCTTGTGCCTCAGCCCCTTATTTTAGGCCTAAGCAGACTGATTTGGGTTCCCTATGTGCTCAGAGTTCACCCTTCCCCCTAGGCCTGAAATCCTATTTGTAAGGTCATCTTGGGTCTAGATGGGGTAGTCAAGAGCCAGAACTAGGAACAGAAAGTCCCAGCACAGGGTCCCTGACCCAGCTGGGAAACTGCCAAAAAGTGCCTGGTCTCCTTCCCCCTCTTGCTGGATCTGGCTCAAGTCGCAACAGCTGGAGCTCAAGCATGTTGTTGTCCTCCTAAGAGACCACCCAAGGCTCTTGCCAGAAGGAATTTCCCCCAAATCACAGCCAAGCCTGAAGCCTGTCCAGAGACACCCCCTTCCTGCCTTTGTCTCTTGGTTGTGACTTTCAGGGACAGTTTGCCCAGACAGAAAGCCTGCCGTTCCATCACTAGTCCCTCCAACCTCTCCACCCTCAGCCTCCACCTCAGTGGTCCAGCCTTTCCACATTCTGTCCCCAGAGAAATGTTTAGACTTTCACACTTCTACTCTTTTCTATGATGTTTCTTCCTACAGGAAGCCTTCCAGAACCCTCCAGATGCGGCCATGACTTCTCTGCTTTGTTTCCAGAATAGCCTTGACATACCTAGTGATACCTAGTGATACCTGGTGTCACAGCACCAAGAACCTGTCACCGTTCTGAAGTCCACGTCTGCTGCATCCCCCAACACTTCCCACCTCCACACACTCTGGGAGCCCCCTGAGGGCAGGGACTGAGCTGCTTGCTTCCGGGGCTCCAGGAGCTGTCTGTGCATCTAGAACCAATCCTCACTCTCACTTTTAGAACCAACCAAGTACCATAGTGACCCTGGGCAAGTTATGGGCCTCTTTAGCTCTATTTCCTCACCCGCTCCAAGTGGTTAACCCAGCCTGGATTCCTGTCCCATAGGCTCACCAAGCCCAGTATCATGGGAGTGGCAGACAGAGAAGAGGGCCCAGGAAGGGAGGGTGGGCGAGTCGCCGCCAGTGAGGCTCCAGTAGGGCAAACTGCCGTGAGCAGTCCCTGCAACTCGGCCCAGTTGGGTGTTATCTTACGGGAATGTCAGCTCAGGATGCCAAATCTGTTCTTTCAAGAAAAAATCAACCCAAACGTCTGCAGTTTTATTTGAAATTTCCTGATTTTTAAGAACTTGCAACTAACTTAAAAATACTCAGTGATCCAGCATTGTGCAGGCCCCCAGCAAGTCTCAGGGCCAGAAAGCCAGATTCACCATCAGACAAGACAACTACAGAGGGCACCACAAACCTCGAGATGCTGCTGTATGGGGGCTGTGGGCCAGTTCTCCCGGTCCTAACCTCCGCCTTATCTTCCGCCTCTGAGGTCCTTTTGATGTCCTGCCACAGAGTGGGAAGGGCAGGTGTGTGGGAGAGGCCTTTCCTTCTGCCTGCACAGGAAAGTTAGGAAGAAACAAAGAAGTCCTGGAATGCAGTTGGTGAGAACCAAGCAGAGCCTTGGGTGGAGTCAGGTTAAGGGCAGGGATGGTGTCGAAAGGAACAAGGAGCCCACAGAGGGAGGGAGGCCAGAGGGGGCTGCATTTCTTCCAGGATCCGAAGGAGCTGAAAGAGTAACACTGGGATAGAGTCTCCCACAAAAAGAAAAG